AGCCGGGCCAGAGGCAGTACAACTACTGAGACGGTCCCCACTGCACTCCCCCGTCCTCCCCTGCACGCCACCCCTTCCACACATGGGAGAATTGGTCTTTCGCCAGAAGGAACGGAGTCCTTTAGAATCAATGCCATAGGTCACTTTACTTCACGGCAGGTTCCGCTCGAGCTGAATGTGTCTGCATCGTGTTTCCTTTATAAGCTCCATCTGGTTCTGTCTTATGTTATATGTCATGAATGTTGAATAACCATGTGTTTTGTTATAGTGAGCACGATGTTGTAGTGCTCTGTTGGAGCATGTGTAGGCAGCTTGGCACTTTCAATGCCTTTAACTTGTCTTGTCTTTGCTTTTTTTTTTTTTAAGCCATACTAAGTTCAATCACATCAGTGATGAAATCATCAGCAGCACTTTTCTGGTTAGGAAGGAACCTGCCTGTGATTCTGTAGATCAGTGCTTCCTTCCTCTTTGTTTTTTTTTCTCTTTTAAATAATTTTAAATATACTGGGTTTATTATCACTAAAAGCCTTGTTTCCACAGTAGATTTCAAAATATGTAAAATATATTTTAAAAAAAATTCCAAAATATTTTCAAAAGAAAAAAAATATTGAATATATTACATATCAGTATGAAGTTGATGAGAGTGTATGTTATCTGCATAGATATGTATGTAAGCAGTTTTTCCTATTTTTAGTGACTGATTTGATGTATGACTGTGTAGTGCTAATTTTCCCACAGGTGAAAAACAAACAAAAAAAGACATCAAGTGTTGTAATGTTAATTTTCATGTTTGCTCTATATCTGCAGTACATGTCTCAGGGTCATCACTGTTCACCTTTGCTCTTTGCTAAAAATGCAGATTACTTGCAGACGGTAAATTGTCTCTGTACATACTGGAGAACCTCTAACTTGTGTATGTTACCTTGTGGAAATATTTGTAATTGATGTAAATCTTTAATATAACGTGTGTCTCACACTTTGAATGAAAGCTTGCTCCTCCGAGGACTGTGAAAACAAACTCTTTCTCTTAACTGACTGTTAAAGCCTTTGACGATGGAGTGAAACTGTTAGCATTTTTTACATTTTTTTTTTAGTTCTTTCAATGGAGTTACTTTTTGTGTTATATGCCTTTTTCATGTTTTATTTGATTAGTTACACAGCAAAATATTTAAAGTAGCAACGAACTTAAAATTCTTCGTAGGTTATGTTTGTTACTCTTTATTCCTTCATCTCGCGCGACCTGGTGTTGTAAATTTCCGGTGACACTGCCAAGGTAAATGTCACCCCTAAACGACTCTAGACATTCAGTCGAATGCATATTACATGCATGAGCAACTCAAGGAAAACACCTACAGCTTTTCTTCTTTCTCTTGCTGCAGTCTGTGTTGAGCAGTATATTGCATTTTCTGACATTTTTCTCTGTGGACGAAGGGAATGGGAGGGACGTAAGGTTCTCTTCATATTCCTTGAGTAATACTGGAGAGGCCCTCTTCCACTATGTCAGTAGACGCCTGATATTTGGTATTCATAACAGGGATTTCATTTTGCCTTGAATTGCATTTGGGGATCATGTGCCTTCCAGGTGAACAGTATGACAATGCATCCGTGAAGAACTTGAAATTTGTCCAAAGGGACACAAACAAATGTAATTTTACTATGCACAGAGGATTACCCTGTGAGCCACTTGCTCTGTCAACTTTTACACGAAATGTAGCAAATATTTTCTGTGTTTATTGTGTGAAGAAAATTCTCTGTGGCATTGCTAAGTTTTAGACTATGCTTTGGCTGTTTTTTTTTAGTTTTTTTTTTTAGTTTACTGGAATAATACAGCACTTTGCCAAAAGTGTAGGGTTTTAGCATTATTTAGCATTGTTTATTTATCTTAATAAATGTCATACACAGACACAATTATATGAGTAGTATAATTTGCAAATAAATTCATTTCAAATGTCTGGAAACCAACAATTTGTCATTATGTATACTCCCTTCTCAATAAATGTTTTAATACCAAATGAAGGTTTCTGCCTTTTCTGTTAGTAAACAGAAATTTTAAAATATAATGACATTCGGCTTATAGACTAGGTGGTGTTTGCATGTCCAGGCATCATGTGTAAGTTATACTGTAACTTAATCACCACACCAAATTATAATGAAAGGTTTCCACTCATGAGCGTTTCAAGAACCCATCCCAACCTGTAACTCAACCCAGCTAATCTCTAAAGAATCCCAAACCATGATTACTGCAAGCCTATTATTCATTGTACCAGTGTGGGTATTAACCTTAATAAAGTAGATTTCTAACTGTACCAGTTTAATCATGCCCTCCTCGTTCTTCTCCTTGATGGATTGGTGCTTTTAGAGGTTACTGATAGGGTCAAAAATGCCCAATATATTTAAAATGCTAGGGTAAAAATGTCAGTTTAATACATTTTGTTTTTCTGTTATCGAACATTTGATATATTTTTTTATATTGATTCCTAATCCTCTTGTGCCTAGTGACCTGTAGCATGTATGGTCTTATAGTCTCTCAACAATGCTGAATGAGCAGCTAATATGGTGGCTTTGATTACTGACTAAAATCAGATGTAAAAATATATAAATCAGAATATACCATATTTGCTTTTTCTGACTTGTGGAATTTTTTTTTGTAATTTCTTTAGTACTTGATTTGTATATGATATATAATATTTTAAATAATACTTGAGTGACACTGTTTTATATGACCAGGGAAACGTAATGTTATTTCCTCACAAGTTAAAATGCAATTTAATACATTCTTAATAAGAAAGTTCATTTCTGAATGTGGCAGTAGCTTTTGTACTGGACGAATTGTTTGGAAAGGTTCAGAGTTCCTCAGAATTTTCATAACTTTGTTTTGTAAATGTTAATGCAAAATAGAATGTTGGGGATGTCTGCATTTGGAAGACATGTAGTACGTGAAGAAGAAGTTATTTATATATATATTGCACGTAGCAATATTTCCCCTCACCCCGGATGTGACGTATTTTAACATACACAAAACAAAAGGGTGAGCGGGATTACTGTTTGAAGAATTCGCGCCGCTTGCATATCCCTCCCAAAACTATTCCTGGGGTTTTGTAGTTTTTCAAAAGGTTAAAACAATACAATTTTGCTTGTTTACGTGTTTAAGTAGAGCTGTCGCATTGATCTTGTATCGACAGAACTGTATTTCCCTTGTGTGTTATTTAGTGTTTCTTTTGCCGGGTGGAAAAGCGGTCAAATGTATGTCATTTTTGTTTTTATGCTCAGATCAATATAACAATGTAACCAGTGGCTAGAAGATATACAAACGCCTTGTCACAAAAATTGTACATGATAATTACAGAATCAAGATAATTTCTTTAAGAACAACAACAAACAAGACTTTTGGTTGATAAATTGACATCTATGTTTGTGAAATGCAAATAATATTATGATAAGATTAATGGTAAGTATAATTTTCAATACGCTTAGCATTGCCTGTCAGAATAAGAATCCTCTCATGGGTTTGTTTACAAGAGCACGTTGTTTCTCGCAGAATAACCATGATTGGTCAGACCGATTCAAATCCCCGCCCACTAGTAGCTGTCAAACTAGGAAGCGTCTCCTCAAAGTCAAAAACTCTTCGTTATTTCATATAAATGCGACTTTTAACACACAGACCTACTCGCATATGATGCATTAGGTCCTCGAGCCCCGGATTCGTTTAACCGGGAAAGCAGGAAAGCGCGTTTTTTACATATTTAAACCAAAGGTCGACGCGGCTAAAAGCAAGTCTACAAACCACAAACATTCCTGTAGGTTTCTCACAAACAATCAATGTTATCGTTTCTAATTCCATGCAGCTTTTTTAAACCATCACACATCAGACTGTCTGGTCATTTTTAGCCCCAAAACACAATGTTATATATAGTTTTTCGGGTTGTTTTTAAAGGCTGAAAAGAGCGCCACGCATGCGCATGCGCAGTAGTCGCGAACCGCTGGACTATATAATGCTTGGCGCCATCCATTCATTCATTCGTACTGAACACTGCGGTAAGGACACTCACTTTAGTCTTCTTTCACCTGTAATCTTTTTTTTATTTTTTATTTTACTTCGTTAAAATCGTGTTGTTAACATGTTTTAGAAGGCATAGTGCTGTTGTTTTATGTTGCTTTGGCTTTAAAACGGAAGTTTGTGCCTTTTAACTTTACGACTAACGTTACGACTAAAGTTGAAGATCCCTTCGGGACCCCTTAAAGCAGCTGTTTTAGCTAACGTTACATTATTTAGGCAGAAAGCGCAATGAATGTGTTTAGAAGTATCTCATAGGCAAAAGTTTAATGTAATGTCGACCTCGGAGGGGGGATGTTGCTGAAAGTTAGCCAGCTCTGCTAGGCGCCAGATTAGATCCTTGTATGTAAAGTTACGTGGACGTGCGTTTGTAAACTCTTTCTGAAATTGTGAAAATAACTGCTATTGTGAAAAGTGGTATGGGTAACCAAAGGGTTACCTTAACTGTATTTTCGGTTAAACTGGTGCTTAATGCGCTTTAAATACATATTCGATGGGTTTTTGTGGGGGCAGCTGTAGTCTCCCGCTTCATGTAAATTGGCGCGGACTGTCCTTTCATAAACCTACAAAACTGGATCATGTATTTCTGGTTTCAGTTAAAACATCAGATGATCATATTGCTGCTTGTGTAGACTATGCATTTACTCTCAGTGCCTTTCGACTTAAAATTATTTTTAATTCGTATGAATTATAAAAATTCGTTCGATATTTGTGGTCATGTACTGTAACTTATGTAACTTCTCTCTGGTCAAATGGCTAAAGCTTGAGTGTTTTTTGTTAAGCCTTTTTTTTTTTTTTTGCAAGTAAGTTATTTCTCTTAAATGCTTAATTTTTTTATAAATACGTTTTAGATATGTAGTAACTACACTATTCTTAATTTAGGCTGAAAAGGTGCTGGTTAATAACAGTGTAATTTAACGTTGTAACGTTATGTTTCTGTTTCACAGGAGAAAAACACCATTTGTTTAGAAAATGTCAAGACGCAGGTAAGAATTATTAGTTTCTGTTGTTGAATTTGTTCGTCGAATGTTTGACTTGGCTAACCCTTAAAAACCCAATAACGTTACTCATTTCTTTATAACGTTTATGTTTTAATAGTAGTCGCAACACATTACAAGAAAGAAATGAAAATGCACCAGAACAAAACAAACCGCAGAGGAAAAGAAAAGGCGAGGTGAGATATTACGATTTATTTTGAATATTACGTTATTGAAACTGCAGTGTATCATTTTCTTCAGAATATCATAACTTCTTTTTTTTTTCAGCAGTGCAATAGAAGAGTCCCGTCAACAGCTAAGAAACAACACTATGAAATTCAGGTAAGCTGATGACATGTATTATTATCAGTATTACATGTATTTGTACATTATTCGTATTATTTTTAAACCGCTAAAAGAGGCAAGACTGGTTAAATTAAGTATAAGTTTGAATGGCAATAAATGCTAGTTTTTCACTAGCGGTCTGTTTATTATGCAGTAATTCGGTCACGCGCAGTAATGATGTCACCGAGTTAATCAGCGCGCCGTGACGTCACGTCCAGAACCTCCCGCGTTTATTTCCTTTATTCAGCAGCTCGCGGAAAAAAAATCTTTTATTTAATTAGATTACGGGAAAAAAAAAAGTTTAGTATTCTGTGTATGATCTTTAGTATTCTTGACGTTTTGTTTTGCAGCTGCTGTATTGATAAAAGTTCATGAGCATAAAATGTTCTTTGATGCCTTAAAGGATATTCCTTTGCAGCAATACTGAATGTAAAGTATATATAATGTACACTAAACAAGGTTTTATAAAAAGAAAAGTATGCTGAGTAATCTAAATCTGCTCTTATTCATGCCCAATGTATATTTAGTTGGCTAAGTCCTATTCCTAAAACCTAAATGGAAACACTGTTCTCTTTTTCTAGAACCGGTGTTTTGAAGGTGATATTAGTCCCAGTGTGTTAATCGAGACTCCTCAGAAAGAGGTTCATCAGGAGACCGCTAATCTTTCTGGTTTCAAGCGCTTCAGATTCAAGAACCTCTTTGTGAAACCCTCTCCGCTGCCATGCCTCAGGTAACACATGCTCACAGCGTCTCATCCTTTGAAAAGTAGAAGAAATGCTAATAAATCAAAGCCTCTTACAAATAATGCTCAATGAAACAATCCGCTTGACAACATGAGGAAACGAATCCAGAATCATAGTGAAAACAACTTGGCTTAATTTATTGCAACCACTTCAAACACTTCCTGAGTTGTGTAATGCTAGTTTTGGAAGATTTTTATCAATATGCAAGCATAATTCATCTATGAACATGTTTCGTTGAGTGTTTTTAATATCATTCAGTACTAATTTGCTGTTGTCCTGTCAGTTGGGCCAGTTCAGATGATGTGTGGATAAAGATGCTAAACAAGGAGCTGAAGTATGTACATGACAAGGGCTTCATCCAGCAGCATCCGAACCTGCAGCCCAAAATGAGGTCCATTCTGCTGGACTGGCTCATGGAGGTATGTTTGTTTTTATTCTTAATCATTTTTCTTTAATTCACATGTATAAAGGGTTTTTGGTCTTGTCACCTGATTGTTTGTGCGTTTAATCTGATATTAAATTCTTTCTACGCAGGTCAGTGAAGTTTATACTCTCCACCGGGAGACATTTTACTTGGCTCAGGACATCTTTGATCGCTTCATGCTCACTCAAAAAGACATCGGCAAAGATCAGCTGCAGCTCATCGGCATAACGTCACTCTTCATAGCCTCAAAGATAGAGGTACTTAAACTCTGACATCAGCTGAAATCTGTTTTACAGAACTAGGGTTTTTTCTGTAAGATTTGTTAATGATAATACAAGTCATCTGAAGCATCACAGAAGTCCATGGTGCCGCTTTTCTCATAAAATGTATCTTTGTTTGACAGGAGATTTACCCGCCAAAGCTCCAGGAGTTTGCTTATGTGACGGACGGGGCCTGCAACGAGGAGGAGATTCTTGCTAAAGAGCTTGTGATACTGAAGGCGTTGAAGTGGGAGCTCTGTCCTGAGACCGTCATCTCATGGTTGAAGCTCTACTCCCAAGTGGACTCTTCGAAGGACGATGCTAATTTCCTCATTCCTCAGTTCTCGAAGGAAACCTACATCCAAATCACACAGGTGAGACTTCAGCTCCTTTGAAGTTAACATGGATCGAGCTGTTTTGTTATCTTGATGCCTCTTCTGACTCTTGGTTCTTCTCTGCAGTTGTTGGATCTTTGCATTTTGGACATTAATTGTTTGGATTACCAGTATGGAGTCCTCGCTGCTGCTGCGTTTTGTCACTTTACTTCTTTTGAAACGGTCCATAAAGTATCAGGTGAGCTTTCTGATCTTGGATATCCTTTAAGGGTTTTCAGGGTTTCTGCAGCTCTTAAAAAGGTCTTTATAAGTCTCAGCATGCCCTTCTACGCCCTTCTTAAATTCATGAATCGTGGCATTAAATGAACATCATCCACCATATTTTTGTGTTCAAATATCTAATCATCTTTAAATTAAGATGAAATTCACCTGAGATGCAAAATGAATAGCCTTGTTTTCTGACAAACTGAACAACATGAAGTGAGTTTATGTTTAAAACAAGAACAAATATCTGCCAGTGGGGTATGAAAACTTGTTTTCCCTTTGAATTAAGTATATTTTTCTGACTCCATCAGCGAATTTGTTCTTGTTTTAACTGTAAAACTCATTCATTTTGCATACAGAAAGCAATACTGCTTGTCACTTTGCTTTTCAATGTATCTTGATTTATTGAATGTTTAGACTTTTAAAACAAGACAAAAATACTGAGGAAGAACATGGTTTTTGTAATGTGATCGGATTAGTTTGTTTTTTTGGGGGGATGAATGAATTATGTGCTCCCTAGACATTTACATTTAGAGACCATATTGATGTTTTGTGTTCCAATAATTTATTACTGAGATTTTCCTTAATTGGTCTTGAAATGATCTTAAAATCTGCAGAAACCCTGACTTTTTTTTTGTGCTAAAGTTTTTGAATCGGTTGATTGATTTGTGCTAAATATTTTCTTTTTCTTTCTTACCAGGGCTCACATGGGACAGCATATCAAGCTGTGTGCGGTGGATGAACGCATTTGCACGAGCGGTTCGTGAATGGCCCAGACCACAACTGAAGGACTTCAAAAAGGTGGCGGCAGGTCGACACAACATACAGACCCACGTGGACTATCTGGCCATGCTGGTGAGTTCTCTTTTTCATTGTCTCCTCAATCAGTTTTATGTAAGATTGAACAAGTTTTAACATTCTTTTTGTGTGTGCGTGTCTTTTCAGAGTGAAGCACATGATCGGCAGCAGGACAGCTTGGACCGGATGTCTCCTTTGGCTGTAGCTGGAATACTGACCCCTCCTAAAAGCACTGAGAAACCTGCTAATGCCTGACGGGTTTGAGGAGAACCTGCTATAGCTAGTCTTCGAAGTCCATCGAAGAATGGATTAATATCCATTTTCTGAAGCTAGAAATGAAAGGTTAATGATCGCAGACTGAACCTGCTTAAGAGCGTCTGGCTTTGTTGCCAGTTCAGAAGTCTGCACAGATGCTGCTGCTGCTTCATGGATCATATGTTACCGTTTTATGTTATGTAAATACAATTTAATTTTATTGTGAGTGTGCGTGTGATGTGAAACCTATGTTCTGAATTTTGGCGTTAATGTGGTCCGATGCCAACCCAGTGGTGCTAACTGTGCTAGTTAAACAGGACGAGCCTGTACAACCAGCAGAATCGGTTATTGGCCTGTTTTCCTAAACCTTCAGGTCCTTGTGAACGTCATTCCCTTGTTTTCATTCTCAAGATACTCCTGTAAGACTTGACCGTTTTCACCCCTCAGAAGTGAATTTACCAAACTGAATTTAAGCAAACTGCGTATTTATTTCATATAGATTTTTCGTTTTAATATTTGAATTGCAATTTTGTTCCTCGATGCCAAAGGCATATTTAATAATTTGAGGTGCTTGCTATTTATGAATTTAATGCCTTTTTGTTTGTAGCATAGCTTGAATTAAATTTGACCTGGACTTGAGCCAGTCATGTTAGCTTCGTTGTTGATTTAAGAACAGTGTAAAAATGTACTATGAATTGTACATAAGATGTACTGTATATGTGTACAAATAACAATTTCAAGACTCTGTAATGTGTAATTTCCAATGTGAAGTTATTAAAAAGTGAAACGAGTCATCTTGTTTCCGTGTATTTTTGTCATGACATTCATCAGTGTTGGAAACATTGTGCTGCTTAATATTTTTGTCGAAACGGCATTTGTTCCCCCAGGATACTTTGAAACTTGCAATTTTACACTAATAATTTAACATTTATCTGCAGAAATGCACAAACATTGCTGGTCTAATGTGATGCCATTGTCAGTCCCCTATTGCTTCTGTTGCATGTGAGTATGATGGGGGAGGCGGTGATGTACCTTTTGGTCGAGCGACAAAGGAAAAGCACTAAGACAAATCCGAATTGCAAATTGTCCTAATGAGGGTGTTGAGGTGTCGTTGTTACGTCTTGAGTCTCCCAAAAAGTTATTGCTGTTCTCACGCCCAGATAAACTGAGAGATAGGAAAACCTTTTGATATACAGTGTGTGGAGCGTCTTTGACAGGAAACTCTTACAGCAGCTCTTTGCAGAAGCCTCTGGCTATTACTAGGGCTCAATTCTTTGATAAAGAGTTTTTCCTTGATTTTAAAGTTGTATAATGGTCTTTTGCCATTTTGGTACATATAGCAAACAGTTCCTCCAGCAAAGAGGATGCATGTGTTTATGCAGTGGTCAGCTGCTCTGTATGTAGAGGAGTCTGCCAGACATGTGGCTGGCGCTGAAGACATGGACTCTTCTTACAATGCTTTTGTTGTGGGGGTTATTGTGTAGTTCTGGGAACGAGTGTACCCTCCTCAGTGGGCTTCCTACCCCTGAACTCCCAACCCCCTGCAAGAACCTCTGAGACAAAGAACCCACTCCAAACTACACATGCTTTTACTTTTAATGATGTGTCCCACGTACCACTGCATTATGATGGCTTGGAGAACTTTTAGATTAGCAATTAAAAAAAATTATATACAGTATCTCACAGAAGTGAGTACACCCCTCACATTTTTGTAAATATTTTATTATATCTTTTCATGTGACAACACTGAAGAAATGGCACTTTGCTACAATGTAAAGTAGTGAGTGTACAGCATGTATACCTGTAAATTTGCTGTCCCCTCAAAATAACTCGACACACAGCCATTAAAGGGGTCATATGATGCGATTTCAATTTTTCCTTTCTCTTTGGAGTGTTACAAGCTCTTGGTGCATAAAGAAGATCTGTAAAGTTGCAAAGACTAAAGTCTCAAATCCAAAGAGATATTCTTTCGTAGCCTACTGCGTAGTACAATCCGTGTCGATCAGCCTGAGCTCGGGCCAAACACACATTTGCTCATGTGACGAGGATGTTTTTTAAGTGCGTTAAGTAAGCTTGGTTTACATAATAAATAATAGTTTAGCATTCAAATACATCGCAAATATGGACACATTTAATTGGATTAATGCCGAATGAGAGAGGTAGGCTGCGCGAGAACGCCGTTTGCTTTCAGTTTCGCATTGAATTAGCCTAATTCATTTTGGTTTGTTTAGCAACTTATATTTTTCATTCTTGTTTTCTTCTGAAACCGTTCAAAATTGCCTATAGGCTAGGTGTTGTGTTTATTGTTTGTACATGATAATATTTCGCTTTATTTACCAGTGTTATTTATGAATGTAATAATGCGATTTGTGCTTATATTTTTTAACCTAAACTACAACGTAACATTAATGTAGACCTACATACCGGTATCTAAATATGATTTCATATATTTTATGCTATATAGACCTACCACGTTACCCTCCACTGGATGTAGAATGAGCAGCATTAAACTACATTTTGGCATTTTACAATACTTATGTGGATATTTTGGATGAAAGTAACTCAAAAGTAACTCAAAAGTAGTGTAATGCATTACAATTCAGAGAGAGTAATATTGTAATGTAACTAATTACTTTCAAAAGACAGTAACTAGTAATATATAATGTATTACATTTTGGAAGTAACTTGCCCAACACTGTAGGCAAGACACACTTGTCTTTGAACTCCTCACCTGGTTGCCGGCACACACGCTTGACACCATCTGAACCAAATAAAAAACGCACACACACACACACACACACACACACACACACACACACACGTATGTATAAAATAATTAAAAGTAATTAAATACATTTCATAAATACAACAGAACCTAAGGTGTCAGAAAGGGCACAAAGTTAAACCAGAAATATAGAAATGTATTAGACCTCATGACACCCACTAAAGTGATTTATGTAGCTCAAAAATTCAAAACAAAACATGAGAAATATAGACAAATATATGTGATAGGCAAAGTGGGAAAATTACATTACCATATTACCACAGAGAGGAAAAGATAGCAAATTATACGAAATGAGACTGACCAGCTGCCAAAAACATTCATTCTACCCATTTAACTGATCACACTGCTTTATACTGACCTACACAGCTGCTAACAATGTTTAGTAGATGAGTCTGATTGGTGCAGAACAGGAGCGTGTCAAGAATAAAAAGGCAATTTCTAAGATAATTTATGGCTCTTAACAGTAATACTCCAACAGATATTGGTTCAGAAAACCATGTAACAGAATGAGTGCAAACTTTACTCGGTTCACATATCAGGGAGTTTAAAAAGGCTGGAAAACTCATGGAAATTATGTAGATGATTCCTATTGGTAGGACCGAAATCAACAGGAAACTAGAGATCACAAGGCAACTGATAGCAATACTGGCGAAAGAAAGAAAAACAACCCAGCCTGTGATTACTGTAAATCACCGCTGGGTGGCAGTAAAACATCACAAAAGAAAATCACGTGTAGGATGAGGAAACTACTACACGACAAAATAACCACGCTCTCACGGTTGCTCACGGAAAACGGTTCATTTATTAAAATTCATATACAAAAAGGAAAATGTTAAGGCCCTAGAAAAAGTATTTCTGTATTTACATTATTTACATGGTTCAACGAGCAGCACAGGTCTGTGATGGGCTGAAAGGAACATTTCAAGTCAACTATAAGCCATTGTGACAATGACCTCATGCCCTTGTTAGAAGGTTTACAAGAGGCATGGAGTGACATTGCCTGGACCTTTCCAGAAAAAGAGCAATGGCCATGTGTCTTCAACTCAATTTATGTTTCTGTATGGGTTTTCTGAGCATTTATTAGAGGACTAACCTAACTGAAAACCCAATCTTATGGCTCATTGTTCTTACAAAATGCAGCCTGCAAATTTGAGCAGACTAATATTCGTTTTCACAACAATAAAAATAGAACTATACAGATCCTTTGTAAGTATATATCCATACGTTTTTTAATGATTGTATTTGCGCTGTGTCTGGCCACATTTGAACTTTCAAAACAGACTTTGACACAGTGGAGTTTCATCTTCGGCTACTCAATACACGATACATTCATCTGGTGTTGTGAGACTGACGATAGTGTCGCCACGTTTCAGCACACCAGCATCAGAAATGATTGGCATCACACACACTACGTCCCTCATATGAAAAGGACAAAGAAAGAAAAAAAAAACGACACAATGAATATTCATGGCAGAATGCAGATTTATATCACCACTGACCGAAAGTAATGTAACTTATGCTCTTTTTGCATGAGCGGATTTGTGATTCATTGGCACATCAGTCATCTATGAAGTCTTTCTGTGTCTTCATGACCCTCTTTTGGCAAATTTATGCTTCAGAGTTAAAATTCAGAAGTGGGCGTCCATTACTAGTGCAGCTGGGTCCATTAAAACAAGAGTTTTGGTCAAGTGCAGATTTCTAAAATGTTACACCCTGATCAGTAAACTGCTGGGAATAATGCTGCGCTCAATTCAAAGGTGGATGTGGGATCTATTTAATTTCAACCATGTTTTGTGATCTGATTCTCAATGACATAAAGAATCTAATGGCTCTGCTGGTGTATGATGATCCGGAGAAGATCATTTAGTGTTTTACACCTGGCTGTCATTGCACACGGAACAGGTTTCATCAGTGTATAAATGTAGGAAAATTGTCTCATTGATGCAGTGAATGTTTATTGTTAACTGGGTATTAATCAAGCAGGGTTCCCAAACTTTTTGACAAATTTTTCTGTGCAATTTCCATGACATGTCCATTAGCTTTCCAGTAATTTATGACGACTAATTTAATTATTACTTTTTTAAATTGTTTAGATTTGTAAAATTGTAGAATTGTAACATTTTTAGAGATTTTATAGAATTTAATTAATGAAGTATTTTCTATCCTAAGAAGTACTTAAACATTTTATTTTATTTTAATTTATAATTTTTTTTTTTAGGTTTTCCAGTACCATGGGTTCCCTGTTTTAGTTAAAGTATGGGGTCAGTAAGATTTTTTTTTTCTTTCATTTTTGAAAATTTAAAAAAATATAATTTTTAAAGAAATTAATACTTTTATTCAGCAATGACACATTAAATCGATCAAAATGACAGTAAAGTCTCATTACTTTGTCCAAAAGCTGTTCTTTTTAACTTTCTTTTCATCCAAAAATCCTAGAAATTCAGCTTTGCCATTAAAGGAATAAATACAATAAAAAAAAAAATACATTAAAATATAAAAAGGTTATTTTAAAAAGTAATAATACTTCACAATATTAATGTTTTACTATATTTTTAAACAACAACAACAAAAAAAAAATCTTACCGATCCCAGACTTTTGAACGGTAGTGTGAATTCACATTTCGGCAAAATCATAGTTCCGCGCAAGCTTCTAAGATGAAAATCTTACATAAAGTGGCATCCTAATGCACATTCCCAGAAAGAAAGCTGGATTTCCAAGTGGAATGAAACGCAGCATTAGTCACGCATGTTCACTAAAACACCCCTTAGTTGTGACACGCTGGATGTGACCGCATACCATGTTCATCATGGTGAAGTCCTGATGATTCGCTGGCTTTGTTCCCTATCAGAGCAAAAATAAATACAGTACATTTAATATTTCACTCAATAAATAAAACAAGTCAGTCCTCTAACCTCAGCTGCTCCTCGCCCTTAAAGCTGTGCGACTGTATCACGAATCAACAGAAAGCATTTCTTAGGACACGTTTTTGTAGAGTTCAAACT